GTGTGTGTGTGTGTGTGTGTGTGTGTGTGTGTGTGTGTGTGTGTGTGGTCTGTGTAAAGATGACAAATGAACCCAAGGGAGGTAATGGAGCTGTGTAGAAGGGAGCATAGAAAGGGAAGAGAAGACGGCCCAGGATGGAGCGTTGGGATACACTGACAAGAGATGGAATATGGATGCCAATAGACAGATAGGCAAGTCACACAGGCAGGAGGAGAATGAAAAAAGATCAATGTCACGAAAACCCAGAGAGGAGAGCGTATCCAGAGGAAGAAGACAGTCAGCAGTGTCAAATGTTTCAGAGAAGTCAGGAAGGGTGAGGATTCAGAAAAGATCATTAGATTTGCTAGTTAAGAGATCACTGGCAACTTTGGAGAGAACGGTTTCAGTTGGATAATGAGGTCAGAAGCCAATTTGCAGAGGATTTAAAAGATAGTGAGAGGAGAGGGAGTGGAAGCAAGAATCGACAGATTTCCCAGATGGCTTGGCTGAAAGAGGGGCAGAAAGCTATAGGACGACAGCTAGTGGGCTTGGCAGGGTGAAGGGAGGGTCGCTTAAGGATAGAGGAAACTTGCTCATGAATATAGGTAGCAGGGAAGGAGCCAGAAGATAAAGAGAGATTGAAGATTGGGTGCAGCTAGGGTGTGGCAATAATCGTGGAGATGTAAAGCAGAATAGGAGGAGCAGTTGTTATGATTATGATTATTATTGATATTCTTTCTATAAGAAAATATGTCACCTGCTGCCCGGTACCTGATGGGTATTGTAGTTATAAAGAAAACATACACTGCAAACAAAGAGATGCTGGCGCTAGACGGAGGGCTTAAGGTGCCATTGCAGGATAGATAGCAGTACTTAGGGGATAGAGTTTGGGGTGCCCACCCTATTGAATGGAAATATCTGTCTGATATGGACATTCTTGCAGTGTAGCCCTCTGGCATGGACTGTGGGTTTGGGGAGCCTCCTTAGACTCCGTATCTGTGTTTATAGTAGATGTTCCCTGAGATTCAATGCAACACTGGAGACCACTGGAAAAATGCCGTGATTCTGTGCCTGACCCCTTTCTAGAGATGTGAGGGTCTGCACGTTGGGGAAGCCACAGGACTGTTCTCCACTCATTGAGTGGGTCACTTGAAGCAAAGCTCCTCTGGATTGCTATTGGTGGCTGGGCAATGTCAGTACTTTCTGGCTTGTTGAATCATTTTATTATATCTAATAAAAACCAGCCATCTCTGTGACATCTCATCCAAAATAGTGTCAGGAGTACCATTGTTACTGGACAATCTTTCTCTAATGACAAGCCAGAGTGGATAGCATGAAGGGAAAGCCATTTATTGGTTGAAGATTGATCGAAAGTTGGATACCAGTCCCCTAGAGGGGGATGCTGCCCAATTGTTAAGGGGTAGAAAAGTACCTTAATGAGACAGTGGAATGACTAGGCCACAGCCTTGTCATCACTTATCTCTTCCCTATTGCTGCCTCCTGAGCATTCCATGAAATGGATGTGCTTTTATTCCAAGTTCTTAGCTAATTTGTTATCTTCTAATTTTAGATGTATTCTTTGAGGACATTGAAACTTAGGAGAAACTCTTTTGGTTAATTGATCAGATTGAGGTGAGGAGGGCATGTTCCCTCTATGGTCTTCCTGCTGGATCTCACCCACTCTTCCTTCCTGTACTCCTGGAAGGGGCTGGGAGAAGGAGACTTTCCTCCACCCCGCACAGGCACCAGTGGTGCTTGGAAGGGCCAAGCCTCTTTTTTACCTCAACAGGAGATGAGCTCATCTACCTGGATCCCCACACCACTCAGACTTTTGTTGACTCTGAGGAGAATGGAACAGTGGATGACCAGAGTTTCCATTGCCAGCAATCCCCCCATCGAATGAAGATCCTGAACTTGGATCCTTCAGTGGCATTGGTAAGTATGTCTTCCAAAGGCTAACACTGGGCTGAGGCAAAGGTCTCAAGGTGACCACAGCTGTCCCCACCCTACCCTCCGGTCATGCAGCTAGAGCGGGGAAGCAGGCTTTGGATTTCTTTCTTTCTTGCCTTCCTTCCTACCTACTCTCTTTAAATGAGGACTGTTTATAGTGACAGTGAGGAAGAACAGGTGTATGTGTGTCTGTGGGGGTAGATTAATAATTCATCCTGTCTCTGAATTAGTAGTGAGTGGAGGTCTCCTGCCTAGAGACAGTGTCTACATCCCCTTATGTAGGTTCAAACATGACTTAGGAGCTGGTTTTCTCTCTTTCTTTCTTGTCCTTTCTTCTACCTTCCTCCCCAATTAATTGGGACAGTAAGTCTACCTGTGTGTCAATAGAATGAGTCAGGCCATCATTTCTAGTTAAACTAATAACCTCTCCAACAGTGTGATCAGCCAGGACCTCAGAGTTCCATCTAACAGAATTGACAATTCTGTTCCCAGGCATGTAGATTGACCCTGGGAATAGACAGATCTTTCCCATGTAGCCTGGATTCTCTAAATTCTGGTGGTTGACTCACTAAGGAATCAAAACCATTTATTAAATGTTATCTTCAGCTATGAGTGCTAATGCAATTCTATGAACCATTCTCTATAGATGAGAATGTGATGTGTGTGTCTGTTGTGTGTGCTTGTATATATAATTATATCAACACCAGGTCTAGAAACTGACTTGTAAATGGCTGTGCATTTCAGTCCAAGGTCTGACATCTGTCCAGGGACAGGAGATGAGTAGTTTAGGGCATTAGAAATAGAATCAAAGCATTTGATGTAGTGATAATCAAGATGATACAGTGTCATCTTGGTTCTGCCACTGTTTGCTAGTTGAATTTGAACAAGTCCCTTCTCCCTGGGCCTCATTTGCAGCCTCTTTAAAAGGAAGGGCCTGGGCAGCACAATACAGTGGAAGGAGCACTAGATTTGAAGTTCAGACCAAGATTCACATTCTGGCTCTACAACTTCCTTCCTGTGTGACTTTGGACAGGTCATTTGCCCTCTCTGGGCCTCCATTTCCCTATCTATAGAACAAAAGCATTGCAGTAGATGGACTCTGAGTTCCTTCCAGCTCTAAACCTATGACTCCACGATCCTGTGGCTAGCCTTTCTCTGACCCCCCCCCCGTCCCGTTTCCGTTCTCCGTTTCCCCAGGGCCTAACACAGGGCCTGGCACACAGGCCATTAGTAAATGCTTGTTGATTATTTGATTGATTAGATGATCTCTATAACTCCAACAACATCATCTAATATGAGGGATAAATAGTAACCAACTCTAAATTTTGTGCTTTGTGTTTTTCTTTACGTTCTTTTGAATCTTCAAGGGATTCTTTTGCAAAGAAGAAGAAGATTTTGATAACTGGTGTGGGCTCGTTCAAAAGGTAAATCTGTCTTTTTGTTGTTGTTGTTGTTGTTCAGACAATTCAAAAATTTTTTTAAAATACTTTTTACCCAGCTTTCTATAGAAGAATGTTTCATAGTGATAAACACAGACCATTGTCAGTAGAAGGGAACTGCCCATGAGGAGTATGGTTTTGGGAAAATCCAAAGAGTGGCAACATGGTATGGTGGGAAGAACATGGCAGTGGGTTAAGGAGACCTGGGTTTGAATCTGAAGCTATGCTATTTACCAGCTATAGACCTTGAGCAAATCTCTTCTCTATAAACTGAAGGGATTGGACATGAGTTAGCATAAGTAGTCTCACCCACTATGTCTCAGTATTAGAGATAATGGATAGGGCCCTGGACTTGGATTCTGGAACACCTGGGCTCAAATCTTGCCTCTGCTACTAGCTGTGTAATATTAAGAAAATCACATCACTTCCTGTGGCCTCAATTTCCTCATCTCTAAAATGAGGAGTTTGGACTTGATGACTTCCAAGGTCCCTTCTAGCTCTTAAAGTTCTGATCCTATGCTCTCTCCAGGGCTCTCCCAGTGCTAACATTCTGTGATTCCAAGTCCGGTTTTGTTTGGAAGGTGTTTAGGATTGAGTATTCAATGGCCCTATGGACTTAAAACTTCAACTATAGCAGCAACCTTCATAATTTGAAGTTACTATTTATGTCTTACTGTGTTTCATATATTTCGACAGTTAAAAACAAACATATATTCAAGGATTTCTCTATTTATGTGTTAGAGTCTCATTTTCATTTAGCAGGTTTGCCCTTCCATTAGCTATCACGTATAGGTAGGGAGTGGATTCTGACAACAGCCAGTGCCTCACTGGCTGGAGGCATGCTGCGATGCCAACTTATTGCCACAGGGGCTTGTCTTTTTTCCCCTCATATATAGATCATATAGAATGTATAAAGCAACAAAACTAGTCCTTGGTTAATAAATAGTTGAAGTAGAATAGAAAATAAATTCCTAATAAGAACTTGCCATTTTGGAACCAACCTCAAGAGAGAGCAGCTTCTGGTCACCTTTACCATTGTAATCCATTTTGTTATTTTACCTATTATTGTTATCTTAGAGGGACAGGATTATAGTAGATACAGAAAACCAGGAAAACCTGCCCTCTGATATGTACTTTCTGTGTGACCCTCGGTGAGTATCATCTTTAACCTTGTAGTGCTCTAGGTAATTCTTAAGAGTGTAAGTGGCAGGGGCAACTAGGTGGTGCAGTGGATAGAGCACCGGCCCTGGAGTCAGAAGGACCTGAGTTCAAATCCGGCCTCAGACACATAATACTTCCTAGCTGTGTGACTCTGGGCAAGTCACTTAACCCCAATTGCCTAGCCAAAAAAAAAAAAAAAAAGAGTGTAAGCGGCAGAGAAGGTGCCAACTTGCATTAGTGGAGGAAAATCCTGTGCCAGTGAAATCACAGTTCTATTCTCCACCCCTCTCCCTATTGCCATCTTAGAAAAATTATATTTCTAGCTTTCAGTATGTGGTTTTGAAAGTTTTTCTGTATCCATCAGTGCGATTTAATTACATCTGGTAGGGTTGCCATTTTTTTTTTCCTAAGGCTGGAGGGAGAGAACACACTTTCAATTTCGTAGATAAGTCAATAGGAAAATGGAATTTGAGAAACAGAAATTTCATTTGCAGCCCACACTAAAGGAACAAATGTGTTCCCCAAAGCAAGGCACATTTTTACAATTAATTTGCTGCCCAATATTGAATTTAAAGATGGAGCATGAGCACTGTGTTAGTTTTCTTCAAAATGCTCCCATGAGTTTCCTTCCCTCAAGGCTACAATGTCTAGAATGGATTAAAACCAGATATTCAATTTGTGGTGCACATCCCATGAACGCATTGGCTGATATCTGGAGGCCATTTGCTATTCCTCTTTATCTCTTGGACTGTTGTTAAGGGTCATAGTCTACCATCTGGATTGTGATTCTAACAGTGTCATGAATCTCCTGTATTAAGAAACACCTTTATTTTTACTTAGGAGATATTAAAGCCACAGAGTTTACAGATGTTTGAGCTGGTTCAGAAGCATCCAGCCCACTGGCCTCCTTTCATACCTCCAACCAAACCGGAAGTGACAACTACAGGTGCAGGTATGATATTGACAGGAGACTGGGGGTAGGTTCCATCATTCAGAGAGAGGCAAGCATGGCCCTGTATTATCTGTAGAGAAAGGAAATTCCTTACTATCTGAAATGGTTGGAATAAAATGTGTTGATTAATTGAATTGCTAGGTTAACTGAGAATTAGCACATGTACCGTACAGGGCATGACATTTCAAAGAGTGAGGTAAAATTCATGATCTAGAAAAATCTAATGAGCTTTATTAAATCTTTCTTTGATGATTCAGTAAGCCCTTCAATATCACGTAAGGCCTCAGCGTCATCATTGTGCAAGGCTGATTTTTCATTGGATGGGCTTTAAAAACAGGTTGAGTTATTTAAATTCTGGATAAGGAGAAATTACAGGTATTTTGCAGTGATGGTGTCAATTGACTCAGTTATCTTCTGTACACCTTATGCAGGATGGTAATAATAATTATTTGGTAGCTTAGTGAAGCTTCCAAGTAAGTGATCATTTCTAGGTAAGTGACATCCTTTGATGACATCCAATTTCTTATGCTTTACTTGTGGAAAAGATAGAAAAATATGGGTTAAACAGTGGAGTGTCCCCAGAGATCAGTCTTTGGCTCTGTACTGTTGAACATTTTTACTACTACTCCTTACTTAGGTAAAGGCACCAATTGAGATGATATATGTAAACTGCTTTGCAAACCTTAAAATTGCTATATAAATGTTAGCTGTTGCTGTTATTATTGTTATTATTGTTGTTATTAATTATTATTATTGTGTGTTTATCAGATTTGCAAATTACACAGAGCTGGGATAGGGGATAGCTACCACATTAGATAACAGTATCGGGATCTCAAAAGATTTTGACAGGCTAGAAAGTCCAAGCTCTCAAAGAACTCACCTTTGTCTTTGAGAGCGGGGACTGTCTTGATTTTCGATTTATATTACAATTTGTAGCAGAATTTTTGGCACATAACAAGCGCTTAATACATGTTTTACATTTTCATTCCATTTCATGTTTATACATATTTGGGTTGATCAATGAAGTAAAAATTGCAGAGGAACAGATTTAGCTTCAATGTTAGGAAAGACTTCCTAACAATTAGAACTCTATCTGAAAGGGGGATGGGCTGCTTCAGGAGGTAGTGGGTTTCCCCTTATTGGAGATCTTGGGCATATTTGTAGAGAGCGATCTCATTCAGGTCCAGGTTGGACCAAATTACCTCAGAGGTCCCTTAACAATTCAGATTCCATGATCCAATTTTCCTTTTGTTTCATGTTCTGGTAGAACTCATTGAATCCACCAATAACCTGTTTGAACTGGAAGAAGACTTTGAGATTTTGAGTATGTGAAGTAGTGCCATCCAGCCTGTGTCCACCACCTGGCACCACATTGCAGAGAACTTTTCTAGCCAGAGTGCCTGATCACCAACAGCACAGAACACAATATCAATCCAAACTGAACCAGTTACCATTTTCCCATGAGCTCTATCCCTGAGAAAGAGAGGCAGAGAGAGAAAATCCTATTGCCAGATGGTAATCAAGCAGGACCATGATGTTTCTCGGTTTTATTTTAGAGACAGTGAACCTCCAATAATGGTTTGAATGTCTAGAGGACAACTCTAGTCTTGTTTCAGAACCAATTATTGGAAGATGGTTACTCTCTCTCTCTCTCTTTCTCTCCTTGTAACACGTCTCTTCACATAGAGACAATTCTAGTTTCAGCTTTGGGATTGCATCTTGGGAAGCAGTTGTTTCTTTATAAAATTAAATTGTCTGGATCAGGGAAAACAAAAGGCCTCGCTAAATTATTTTAATAGGCACTTTGAATAATTTTGTATGAAAACATTTCTATCAAGGGAATTATGGCAAATGGACACTTCTTACAACCTCCTTCCTGTTTGGGGGAAGCTTGCTTGCTGCTGTGGCACCATCACCCCTCCCCATCCCCACCCCACCATCATGGCTGCATATGATACATTTCACCCTGACCTCAAGCTGAATCAGGATCTTTTGCCTTGCTGATTTTGGTTCAAGAAATAAAGAGTCAAAAGTGGTTTGTGCTTTTAATTGTGCCTCATTTATTTTTTCATTTCACATATTGCTACTGGGGTGCCTACATAATTATGTGATATCCATGAATCACCTTTCTTTTGGAACCATTTAGGAACAGTAGACCCATTTAAAGAGCATTTATTTTTAAACCACCTCCATTGACCACTTCACTGTGTGCATATGGATAGAGAGTGGTATGTGTGTGTGTGCGTGTGTGTGCGTGTGTGTGTGTATGCCCTGACCACTTAATTCGTTGTGTGCATAGGGATAGATGTGTGTGTGTGCGTGTTTGTGCCCTGACCACTTATTCGTTGTGTGCATATGGATAGGTGTGTGTGTGTGTGTGTGTGTGTGTGTGTGTGTGTGTGTTGGCTGCCTTAAGCCACTTTTCTTACTGTTTCCATAACTAGAGGTCCCTTGCTTAAGGAGCTCATTTAGTCTAGATTCTTTCTTCTCTCTTCTGCCAACCTTCTGTGTTCTTCTACTTAGCACCCTCTTGGAGGAGAAGCAGCCACTGAGCCCCCTAGCCAGTTATTTCTCTTTTTCTTTTCTGGTCCTAGTCCATGATGGCTTTACTCCAGCAATATATAAAGAAAGATTGCAGTAAGTGTTTAGATGTGATCTCTGAGACAATACAGTGTGAGCTGATTTTTCCCTCAAGGAACCTTTGAGAATGGACAGAGCTATATATTTAGGAATTAAATTTCTGGTTCCTTAGATTCCATTTTTATCTAGAGTTAAATATTTTAGCAGTGTTACAGTTAGCTATTGAAAAATTGCCTTATGGAGGTTAAATTACAGTTAAAAAAAAAAAAAGGAATCTTCTTAGGTTAAATAAGGTTATTGGACCAGGACTAGAGATCATCCTGGTTCTACCATTAACTTAACCATGTAGCCTTGGACAGATCATGTTCCTCATATTTAAAATGAAGAGTTGAATTCTGATCCCTGAGGTCCCCTGTGATACAACAGCTCTTTGATGAACTTAACAGAGATGAAGGTTTCCTCTTGAAACAGAGTTCATCTCTTGGGGGAGGATCCATTAGCCCTTTAATTCTGATACTCTTTTACATTTTATTTTTGTTAGTGTGGGTTGAGTGAAAGCCAATAGCTTTCATTGAATGCATGAGTTAGGTTGCATAGGTTTCCAAAGTGGGCAGTACCACTTCCTGAGGAGCACTGGAATGATCCAGGGGGCCTTAGTAGTCTTGAGTGCAATTGGGGGGGAGGGGAGGACATTGAATAAAAATAAGGGTTAACTTAACCTAACCCCAGGGAGGTGCTGAGTAATTTTTTTTTTTTGGAAAAGGGGGCGGCAGGCCAAATAAGTTTGGGAACCTCTGATAGGGAAAAATTCACCAGATGAAGAAGTTATATCCAAAGGATCAAAAGTTCAGCTTTAAAACTTTCCAGTATGAAATGTACTTCCACAAAGTAGAAGCATAGAAGGGCCTTTTTATTATTAGTTTATTTTGATTTATCAACAATCACTTCTATAAACTTTCTGAGTTTTAAAATTTTCTCCCCCTCCCTCCCACTCTTCCATCCAAAGACGGTGTGCAATCTGATACAGGCTATGCATACACATTCCTATTAAATATATTTTCCACATTAGTGATGTAAGGAAGAATTAGAACCAATAGGAGGAACCACCAGACAGAGGAAACAAAATAAAACAGAAGAAAAAAAGATAGCAAATAGTGTGCTTCAATCTGCATTCAAACTCCATAGTTCTTTCTTTGGATGTGGATAGCATTTTCCATCATGAGACCTTTGGAGATGTTTTAGATCCTTGCATTGCTGAGAAGGGCTAAGTCTGTCAACGTTAGTCATCACACAAGGTAGCTATTACTGTGTACAACATTCTCCTGGTTCTGCTCACTTCACTCAGCATCAGTCCATACAAGTCTTTCCAGGTCTTTCTGAAGTCCACCTGCTCATTTCTTATAGCACAGTAGTATTCCATTCATATACCAATATTTCGTTACATTCATGTACCACAACTTGTTTAGCCATTCCCCAATTGATGGGCATTCCCTTAATTTCTAATTCTTTGCCACCACAAAAAGAGCTGCTATAAATATTTTTGTACATGTGGGTCCTTTTCCCATTTGTATGATCTCTTTGGGATACAACCCTAGAAGTGGTATTGCTGGGTCAAAGGGTATGCACATTTTTATAGGAAGGGCCTTTTTCTAATATGATAAAGAATATATTGAAAACTAAATGTTAACATTATTTGCATTGGAGGAACATTAGAAGCTTTCCTACCAAATACAGGATTAAAGCAAGGAAGCCTTTCCTTTTCTCCATTGTTATTTGGGGTAATTCTAGAAATGTTAGTCAGCAGTAAGATGAGAAAGAACTTAAAGCATAAATTTAGGAGAAAGGGAGATAAAGACATCTCTATTTGCTGTGGAAAACATAGTAGTTTGCTTAGAAAACCCCAGGGAGTCAGCAGAAGAAAACAACCAAAGAAGAATAGTTTCAGTAAAGAAATAAGATGAAACATATAAGACAGATACTCAGTTCCCTTGTGAGCATTGTACATGAAGGCTCTCCTAGACTTGTGCTACTGCACAGAAGCTGGAATGGAGAATAGGCTGCCTCTGCATGTGTGTGACTTTTATTTAAAAAAAAAAACCCAGAAATTTAGTTTTAGTAGTAGAATTCCTCAAGAGGAATTGCCTCATGTCACTAGCACAAAATGGTAATTGGAAGAAGTGGTGAAAATTAGTACAATATATCCTAAAATCCATACTATACCCACTACACAGAAGAAACTGCTAGATTGTAGGAGATAAAACACTTTTTTAAAGACTCCCAATGAAGAGTCAACCAGGTTAATTGTGAAAGAACCATTGAATGAACATTTTAATTCTGGGTTTCTACCAGTCTCAGATGTGAATTAGGCCCATCCTAATAGCTGAAATCTCTATAGCACTTGAAGATTTGCAAAGTACATACATTCTTACAATAACCCTAATAAATTGGTACTACAAGTACTGTTACCTCCACTTTACAAGTGACCACAGTAAGATTTAGCCTAGTGTCCACAGCAGAATTTGAACTCAGATTTTACTGTTTGATTCCTTTCCCTCTACAACAGTACTGTAGTTTCATCTGCCCACATTATAATGGAGTGACACACTTGACTAGGAATCAGGAAAACTAGGTTCTGATCCCCGTCATGCCACTAACTTGGGCAAGTCTCTTGTCCCTTTTTGATCTCTATTTCTCCATTTGTAAAATGATAGTGCTCGTCCTGGAAGACTTCTAAGGTTCTTTTCAACTCTAAAAGTTCTGTGATCTTGATAGCACTTGGAACAAATAGACAGATCTGAGCTATTGGAACCTCCTATGCTTTGCATAAAACTAGGAATCTCCTTTCTCATACTGGGGAAATTCAAAGCCCATGAAGAATAAGTGACTTCTTAAGATCACACAAATTCATTGAATGGCTGTCAGATGATAGGCCCCCAACAATAGCAACACTGCTGGAGATACCAAGTAAAAAGCAAAATAATCCATTACATAGCCAATAAAATAAAATCCAAAATAAACCCTCAGGGTGCTTCCAGTCTTTTGGAGAAGACTATACATAAGTCCACGAAACTATATACAAAATAAATGTAAAGTAATCAGAGATAGGGGCACAACATGTACTGGATAGATCAAGAAAGGCCTTATGTAGGAGGTTGCATATGAACTGAGCTTTGAGGGAAACTTGGGGTCCTAAGAGTTGAAGATTGAAGAAGTACATTCCAGTCATAGGGAATACAAGCTGTCCAAAGGCATGATGGGAGGTCAAATATATTGAGGGTCAGCAAGTATGTTAGTCTGGCAGCACTCCTTGTACTTTGGCTTTACTCACAAACTTCACCTCCCGACCAATAAGCATGCTAGTGATATCACGTTCCAGGGGTCTCAACATTCAGTTCCATAAATGAAAACTGAAATATGTGATCTTTTCTTACTTGTTGTATTCCAATTTTTTGGAATACACGGAGCAGGCTCTATACATATATTGTTAGGTACCAAGACACTACTGTTGTCAAAGCCAGCTGATAGATGAAACTCCTCCCAATCAAGATAACTGTCTTGTTAGACAAGAGCTCTCATAGAGAGCTTTTCTATGAGTAGTAACACAAATTATCCAAATCAAGTCATCTCCAGGTGGGCTGAAATGGAGCTTTAGCTCCCAGATTTCCTGTATGCTGAATGGCTTCCTCTGCAAAGAACCAATGGGCTCAGGTGTTTGTTCTTCAGGCTACTGAGATTTGTGAGGAGTGGTTACAAGATGTAAGAAACAGGGGGCATGGGAACTGTTACTGCTTTCAGAGTTTTAGCATTTGAGTATTGTCAGCCAGAACCCATATTTGTTGACAAACTTGTGGCAGCTCTCCAGTTACCAACCCTAGGAGACCTGAGGTGCAAAGGTTGGAGGCTGGCCCTGAAGTGATGAAGCTAGCAATGGAATATTACCAAGCAGAGACATGAGACCAGCAAAGTGACATATCCGGAAGAGAGCGAGAGGTTAGGAGCGACAGAGTTGTGATAGCCAGCTATGGAATATCAGAAATGCCACATCCAAGTGGACATAGACCCAGAGACAAACAATCACCAGAAAGCATCAGTGGTCCTGTCGTGTCAGAAATGTGAGTTATCGTTCTACACGTGTGCCCTGGCTACATGTGTTCTTTATATGTGTGATCCCCATACATTCCCATTCCTCCCAGTAACAATATGGGTTATTTGTGGGAGGGTGTGCTATGGATGAAATGTTTTATTGCTGTGTTTCTTCAAATTCTAGTTCACTAAATGTCTTTGCTTTAAATTAAGTATGTTCTCTGGCTCCTTCTCTTACCTGTCTGATGCCTCCTCAGTCTCTTTTGCTGGATCTTCATCCGGATCACTCCTGCTAACCCTCGCTATCCCCCAAGGCTCTGTCCTGGGTCCTCTTCTCTTTCCTCATTTTTTTTTTTTGCTATATATTTTCTGCTCCTGTGGGTTCA